GCAGCCTGAATTAATACAATAAAAAATATTTTGTCTTTATTAACAGTGCTAATTAAGCCAAAACATTTTAAAATGGTGTTTTCTCTTTTTAATTTGGGACTCTAATTTTAATTTGTAAAAACAAATATGCAGTAAATGATGGCAACAAATTATGATCACAGTTTGTTGACTTAGAATAAAGGAAGCCCAGAACAATATATTGCCCATTTTAGGTACTTAGTTTGTGCAATTTTTATATAAGATGAATTAAACAATTCCTGAAAAGTGAAAAATAATTTGTATAGTTTTCACACGTATAGGGTCTAGGTCAGTGGCAAAACAAGGGAGTTAATTTGGAGGAGGGCTGCATTAAGCGCCCCCATAAACCTCATTAACCTTCCATGATAACTACCCCAAATAGAATGTAAGCTAAGTAAAACACTGTGTGTGCTATTCAGACTCAACTTCAAAACAAGTCCCAGGCTGCTCCTTCCGAGAGACCACTGTGCCAAAGCTTCTATCTTGACATTCCAGAGACACCCTGGTCCTAATATCTCTGTGCTTATATCTTCACGATAACAGTCATTCTGCCTTTTAAAATTTTGTGTCACAGTTTGGATATAAGAGGGTGGGGGTGGGGAACCTACACACAAAAATGAAACTTTTTGCACAAAGCATCCACTTGCCCACAAGTGCTAGAGTGGTGGCCTGCACTGTGTGATCTTGGTTTAGTTACATAATTGTTCTAGGCCTCAGTGCCTCAATGAGGGATTTGAAAGGGCTGATCTCAAAATCTTTTGCAATAGTCAGGGCCTCAGACTCCTGGCTTCATCAAACATCTGAATCTGGATGGCTTATCAACAGCTACTACTGATCTTGTGAGCCTGGGTTCCTTTTTGTTATCTTTAACCATTTTTCTGGAAGAGGTGAGAAACCCTTACAGAGCAGGACAAATGTGGAGAATGGAGCTGAAAAGGTTCTGGTGCCCGGAGAGTCTCTGCTCTGCCCCGCCCGCAACCTCACCCCTCCACCACCAAATCAATAAGCCGCCTGGGATGGAGGCAGCCTGCAGAGTCTCACCACCGGCGGGAGAAGCTGAGTGAGTGATTATTAGGAGAAAACCACTCAGGCTTATCTCAAACTTCACTTTCTTCCCTTACTCATGTTCACTGTAGAAACAAAGGGAAGTGTTTCCGAAGCAAAGTTCTTGGCTCTGCTTTTTTGCTCACAGGGACTTTTCGGGAAAAGGGGAAGGGAGTGCAAAACAAAAAGCAAATAAAGGACTTGGAACAGTCTACAGGACACGAGGACTCCCACTTGTTCTCAGAAATGCCGTTTCCTTATTAGCTGCAGTCCAGCTTCCCCTGCAGGTGCTGTGGCCGCGTTGCGCCTCGGCGGGAGCCTCCTGGAGAGGCTCTCTGGCAGAGCCCCAGGGATGCGGCGACCCGGCCGAGCGAGGTCCGTGGTCCGTGGTACGCGCTGGGGAGAGGCTCCCCGGCAACTTGGCCCGCGGGAAAGAAAGTCTCGGGGTCAGCCTCCTGCCAGCTCTCATAAGTAGATCTAATTATGACCGCTTACTTCAAAAAGAGGATTTAACCCAAAGCAGATTTAGCGGGGCAGTTTCCAAAGGGTAGCAGGAATCCCAGGCTTGACCTTTGAAAAATCCCAGACTTCGCTGCCCCGGGAACTTGGCAAGCAAGTCACGGTGGACGCCTCAGAACGCAGAGAAATTCAGAGATGCCAACTTAAGTTATCAATCAGGTCCTACTAGGGATGTTTAATTTAGAATAAAGTGTCTGTCAGAGAGTGCCCACGGCGTGTGCACTGGTGGTCAGTCAGAGTGTTGAGCTAAGATAAAACGTTGACAGAAAAAAAAAAAAAAAAA